TTTTAAAATAATGTTCCTCTTAATCTTTAAGAGATAAACCGGATAAATATTATTTTTTTATTATATTATATATTTTTAAAGTAATAAAAAAAAAAAAAAACCTAAAAGTAAAGCAACAAAAAATGTTATCAAAGAAGCTTCAATATTGAATATTGAGCCACTGGCTTGTCCTTCTTGCTAAGACAACGCACTCCGATTCTCCACGCAATGAAATTGGACGGAATGAAAATGATCTCCATGAGAAATGTAAATTTCAGAAAGTTCACAATCGTCCTATAATTTGACTTGAAGCTTTTCCCCTGGGCCTTATCTTTAATATCTCCTGATTCTATTCAAATAGTCCCCCATGGTTTCAGACTCAAAAAAAGCACAGACAGCAACAGAAGAAGCTTATCGAGACTCTAGGAATATGAAAAGGTTTACATTGGAAACTCGAAGAACTTTTTGGTAAATGTATGAGACTAATGTCAAAAGTAGTAGAACAGGATACAAAGAAGCCTTAATTTTCTATTTGGACATATTTAGCCACATAAGAATTGGATGATTAAGAAGCAAACCCCTAAAAGTCTCTGGGATCAATAAAGACATTCCCTAGTTCTCCCCCTGTATTCATGAGATGGTCTTGGTCTTCATTATTGTTGATGCCATTGACTTTTTTCAAGTACCACAGATCATTGATGCATGACATGGAGGAGTCTTTAGGTACATGTTCTATGAGAGGATCTGAGACTCCTAGCTCAGTTATGATCATCTTACAATCCTTCACATTTTCAGTCAATCTTGATGCAAAGCTCCATGCTGATTTCATAAGCTCCCCCAGCCTCCCACCCTCTCCATAAAGCCCATAAAGAAAGAGGAATCCAAATGGTTTTTCAAGTGAATCACATATTGGCAATTTGAAGCAAGTGAAGATCTTGTCTCTAGCATGGGTTAGAGTCGAATGGAAAAACTTTAAGGGGTGAGACTTTCTGATATGAATCTTGTATGCCTCACAAGAATTCCATATGCTAAAGACGACCCAAGTGCTTGGACTTGAAGTGACAAAGTCTTCATTCTTCTCTTTGCTGTGCAAGCCAATCCATTCGTCGTCTTTGAAATAAGAAACCCAGGTTCCAAGGCTCAGCTTTTCCCTCAAGATTGCATCAATGTCTGTTGGATAGATGTCCTTTCCTCTGAGCTTGTTGTAGTACAAAGCAATTGCTTGGTCTACATGCAACTTCTCTACTTTTACATCTTTGGAGAGAGCCTTCAGTGGGAAACTGATTGGTTGAAAAAATATGACTAAAGAGCTTAAATTCATATAGCTGCATCTAATAGAGAAGAGATTGGTAGACGCAACATTATTCTTCTCAGTTGCTAAGAAAGTGTAGTCTGCTCCATTGCTTATCAACCACTCTTCTATTGATTTCACTAGTTCCAAACCAATCCCCATTCGCCTACAAAAGGAAAAACAAAGGATTTCATTCTCTGCATTGAGCAAGGAGATGGTTCAAAATCATCTTCAGGTGATAGTAACAGTATTATCAAGTTTGCTCTGGATCATTGCATCACCATTTTGTTCTGCCAAACATATGGTTTTGTCTAGCTAGAGGCATAAAGGTGTTTTAAAACATAAGAGCAACCTCATATTCAAGTTAGAGAAAGAGTGAGGGAGAATATACCGATGTCTAGGAGAGACTCGAAGGCCCAGTATGCATCCCAACTTCACATGGGTTCCCCCTAGTATAGTCCCCACATGCTTGATGCATCCTCTTATCACTCCAACAAGCTCCCCGTTTTCCCGTAGCTCAGCTACCTGTAGGCCATTATCAGCACATTAGTAGTCTGGCCTCCTAAGCATCCTGGATAAACGAAGAATCTTTTTTTTCTGGATAAAACATAGATCTTGCTGGGACAGGGTAAACATGGTAAATTAATCATGAGAATGTTTCTTACATGGGAGTGAAAATGACTCAGACAATATGTTAAAGACAATTTCATGTCTGTGATTGATAATGCAAATGAAACTACCCTTACCAGCATAACATGGAGTGAATAGAACCTAATCCTACATAAAGGGTCACTCATCATGTTTGTAAACATGGAGGCCCCTTTGCTAGACCCAGTCTCGCAGTCCCTCTCAAGCTTCCCTACCACTTCAATATCTCTTTCTTCATTGAATTCCCTAACTAGAACCTTATTCTTTATGCTGTCAACCATTTCTTTTGGCTAAAGGAAACAAGTCTGGCTATTACACTAAGTTGGGAAATAAAGCCTTCCAACGATTGAATCTTTCTCCAATGAACTAGCTGCCATAAACCACCTATCATTCTTATATAGTACTAGCTACTTCAATGGAGAAACATTTACATCCGCATTTATTTTATAATTCGTTCTACAAAAACCAACCACATCATCAGGTTGCACGAAAAATCTATGCCTCTTTTCAGAATTTTCTGTCCCTTTTTCCAGCATAACATATTGCCAGGCAGTTTTCTATACTCAGTGAAATAAAGCTGGCAATGTTCATGAGTCATTCAAACTTGGTCAGGACAATAAGTGGCAAGCTATCTACATACGCTGCACCTCAAATATGGAACAATGATGTCTGAAAACGATTCACTAAATCTCTGCAATCGTTATGTCATTTCCTCATTTCATCTATCAAAAGGACAGCTCAGCATCAATCAAGATACCAATAGGTTAAATACACCACTTAAGATTAATATACATAAGAAGGAAGATTGATATACATAAGAAGGTATGCATTAGGAAAGCAGCTTTTCTTATAACCTTTGCATCAGTTGATGGATATTAACCGGCTTTCTTCTGTGTTATCATCATAAATACTACTATGAAGGCTGCATTATCCATTTGTGGTTCAAAGTTAAATAGCCTTCACAATGAGCAGAATACTAAGGAGAGTTTCCTATGTTCATAACAAATTGTAGTAGTGCTAAGTCTTATGCATAATCATGCCTTATAAAGAAGATTTAGAGTGTGATGCAAGGAAATGTCAGTTTCTGAAGGTTCCAAAAGATGTCGGTTTTAGAGAACGTGGACACTGGACTGTGCTATGATCTGAATCGCTCAGATTGTTTTATTCAATTTGGTTTTTGTGGAGTTTATATTCTCTGATGCCCACCTCATGCAGAAGAGCACAAATGTCAGTAAAAGGGCCATGTGAAAAGTTCGGTCAAGGCAATGAAATGATTAATATGAATCAATCATACAGATAACATAACAAACATTTCTGTGCTGATTTTCCAGCTTCGAACCACATCTTAGCTGTTTTTCAAAAAGTAGTCTCCAAAGTCTATAATTGCCCTCTTGTCCTATAACCCTGATGCAGCTTTTGACGTGGCTTAATCTCCACAACAAGAAAAAGAAAGTCTTTCATACCATGCTATATCATGTTAGATATATAACATAACTAATAACAATTTAAAAATTTTATCAGGGCTTAGCAAATTTAATATTATTTATCTTGAGTTTTAATTAGTTATTTTGTTTATATGTCAAAATTTTATTAATTCGTTATATTATATTATATGTAACAATGATAATAATTTAGTAAAAAACCACACATTTCCATGCAAGATGGGAGACAGAGAGCAGGGAAATCAAAAGTAAGAACATTCACAAATTTCTTTGGGAAAAATTCCTATATGCATCCATATGCTTCCAAAAAAATTATTTTGACCATCAATAGTAGACTAGAATCATCTCAGTTGCAAATAATTTGATGACTACAAAAATAACAGGGAATCTACAAAATTTCAGCAGGGTAATGAGTTCAGTTAAAGAACATAATACCTCGAGAACACACAATTCCCACCAAGTTTGAGACTGCTGCTACTAAAGGGTGATTTTAAGAAATAAATTCCTGATTTTCTCTTCTTAACTTGAATCCATGAATATAAATGATTAAATAAATATATATTACATAACATAAATTTTTAAGTGAAACCAACCCTTTAAATTTAATAATTTATCCTTAACTCTTAATACTTAAAGTGAATTAATTAAAAATTTAATTTTTACTAACTACTTTAACATTTACACTAACTTATAGTTATTAATGCTTCTCTCTAACTCGCGGGTTGGACCCATTTCTTTCTTTTTTT